GGTCGGTACATCGCTGTGCGACACTGAAATCGTGATCCTACTATCAGGACGTTGCAGAAACACGTCAAACTCGCTCGGGATCATCACAAAACACGCTAAACCTTTCGAAATTCACCAAGAGTGTTCCATCAATGTTATGGACGTGAGACAAGTTGAGATGGGTGGTCTACAGTCTGAACAAGCTGGGGAAATTGCCTGGACTGTTCCCTGTTGCATAGACAAGTGTGGGTTGCGTTCCTTTCGCTTGTTTTGTGGGGGGGCACTTTAGCTGCGAAAATTCAGTATTGGACGTGAACGCGAGGTCAGAGCTGGGTCCTATGGCTTTGTTGGTGGTGTCACGACTCTGAACAACAGCTCAACACGTCGCTGTCTGCTCACAACCTCCCCGTTCTCTCGCAATCATCACTAACCCCTTCACGAGTCAAAACTCGACGTTTCAGCGATTTCACTCAAACACGACTGCTTCCCTCGCTGCAACAAGCTCGCGAATGACTCTGAACACTCTCCTAGGTCGGTACATCGCTGTGCGACACTGAAATCGTGATCCTACTATCAGGACGTTGCAGAAACACGTCAAACTCGCTCGGGATCATCACAAAACACGCTAAACCTTTCGAAATTCACCAAGAGTGTTCCATCAATGTTATGGACGTGAGACAAGTTGAGATGGGTGGTCTACAGTCTGAACAAGCTGGGGAAATTGCCTGGACTGTTCCCTGTTGCATAGACAAGTGTGGGTTGCGTTCCTTTCGCTTGTTTTGTGGGGGGGCACTTTAGCTGCGAAAATTCAGTATTGGACGTGAACGCGAGGTCAGAGCTGGGTCCTATGGCTTTGTTGGTGGTGTCACGACTCTGAACAACAGCTCAACACGTCGCTGTCTGCTCACAACCTCCCCGTTCTCTCGCAATCATCACTAACCCCTTCACGAGTCAAAACTCGACGTTTCAGCGATTTCACTCAAACACGACTGCTTCCCTCGCTGCAACAAGCTCGCGAATGACTCTGAACACTCTCCTAGGTCGGTACATCGCTGTGCGACACTGAAATCGTGATCCTACTATCAGGACGTTGCAGAAACACGTCAAACTCGCTCGGGATCATCACAAAACACGCTAAACCTTTCGAAATTCACCAAGAGTGTTCCATCAATGTTATGGACGTGAGACAAGTTGAGATGGGTGGTCTACAGTCTGAACAAGCTGGGGAAATTGCCTGGACTGTTCCCTGTTGCATAGACAAGTGTGGGTTGCGTTCCTTTCGCTTGTTTTGTGGGGGGGCACTTTAGCTGCGAAAATTCAGTATTGGACGTGAACGCGAGGTCAGAGCTGGGTCCTATGGCTTTGTTGGTGGTGTCACGACTCTGAACAACAGCTCAACACGTCGCTGTCTGCTCACAACCTCCCCGTTCTCTCGCAATCATCACTAACCCCTTCACGAGTCAAAACTCGACGTTTCAGCGATTTCACTCAAACACGACTGCTTCCCTCGCTGCAACAAGCTCGCGAATGACTCTGAACACTCTCCTAGGTCGGTACATCGCTGTGCGACACTGAAATCGTGATCCTACTATCAGGACGTTGCAGAAACACGTCAAACTCGCTCGGGATCATCACAAAACACGCTAAACCTTTCGAAATTCACCAAGAGTGTTCCATCAATGTTATGGACGTGAGACAAGTTGAGATGGGTGGTCTACAGTCTGAACAAGCTGGGGAAATTGCCTGGACTGTTCCCTGTTGCATAGACAAGTGTGGGTTGCGTTCCTTTCGCTTGTTTTGTGGGGGGGCACTTTAGCTGCGAAAATTCAGTATTGGACGTGAACGCGAGGTCAGAGCTGGGTCCTATGGCTTTGTTGGTGGTGTCACGACTCTGAACAACAGCTCAACACGTCGCTGTCTGCTCACAACCTCCCCGTTCTCTCGCAATCATCACTAACCCCTTCACGAGTCAAAACTCGACGTTTCAGCGATTTCACTCAAACACGACTGCTTCCCTCGCTGCAACAAGCTCGCGAATGACTCTGAACACTCTCCTAGGTCGGTACATCGCTGTGCGACACTGAAATCGTGATCCTACTATCAGGACGTTGCAGAAACACGTCAAACTCGCTCGGGATCATCACAAAACACGCTAAACCTTTCGAAATTCACCAAGAGTGTTCCATCAATGTTATGGACGTGAGACAAGTTGAGATGGGTGGTCTACAGTCTGAACAAGCTGGGGAAATTGCCTGGACTGTTCCCTGTTGCATAGACAAGTGTGGGTTGCGTTCCTTTCGCTTGTTTTGTGGGGGGGCACTTTAGCTGCGAAAATTCAGTATTGGACGTGAACGCGAGGTCAGAGCTGGGTCCTATGGCTTTGTTGGTGGTGTCACGACTCTGAACAACAGCTCAACACGTCGCTGTCTGCTCACAACCTCCCCGTTCTCTCGCAATCATCACTAACCCCTTCACGAGTCAAAACTCGACGTTTCAGCGATTTCACTCAAACACGACTGCTTCCCTCGCTGCAACAAGCTCGCGAATGACTCTGAACACTCTCCTAGGTCGGTACATCGCTGTGCGACACTGAAATCGTGATCCTACTATCAGGACGTTGCAGAAACACGTCAAACTCGCTCGGGATCATCACAAAACACGCTAAACCTTTCGAAATTCACCAAGAGTGTTCCATCAATGTTATGGACGTGAGACAAGTTGAGATGGGTGGTCTACAGTCTGAACAAGCTGGGGAAATTGCCTGGACTGTTCCCTGTTGCATAGACAAGTGTGGGTTGCGTTCCTTTCGCTTGTTTTGTGGGGGGGCACTTTAGCTGCGAAAATTCAGTATTGGACGTGAACGCGAGGTCAGAGCTGGGTCCTATGGCTTTGTTGGTGGTGTCACGACTCTGAACAACAGCTCAACACGTCGCTGTCTGCTCACAACCTCCCCGTTCTCTCGCAATCATCACTAACCCCTTCACGAGTCAAAACTCGACGTTTCAGCGATTTCACTCAAACACGACTGCTTCCCTCGCTGCAACAAGCTCGCGAATGACTCTGAACACTCTCCTAGGTCGGTACATCGCTGTGCGACACTGAAATCGTGATCCTACTATCAGGACGTTGCAGAAACACGTCAAACTCGCTCGGGATCATCACAAAACACGCTAAACCTTTCGAAATTCACCAAGAGTGTTCCATCAATGTTATGGACGTGAGACAAGTTGAGATGGGTGGTCTACAGTCTGAACAAGCTGGGGAAATTGCCTGGACTGTTCCCTGTTGCATAGACAAGTGTGGGTTGCGTTCCTTTCGCTTGTTTTGTGGGGGGGCACTTTAGCTGCGAAAATTCAGTATTGGACGTGAACGCGAGGTCAGAGCTGGGTCCTATGGCTTTGTTGGTGGTGTCACGACTCTGAACAACAGCTCAACACGTCGCTGTCTGCTCACAACCTCCCCGTTCTCTCGCAATCATCACTAACCCCTTCACGAGTCAAAACTCGACGTTTCAGCGATTTCACTCAAACACGACTGCTTCCCTCGCTGCAACAAGCTCGCGAATGACTCTGAACACTCTCCTAGGTCGGTACATCGCTGTGCGACACTGAAATCGTGATCCTACTATCAGGACGTTGCAGAAACACGTCAAACTCGCTCGGGATCATCACAAAACACGCTAAACCTTTCGAAATTCACCAAGAGTGTTCCATCAATGTTATGGACGTGAGACAAGTTGAGATGGGTGGTCTACAGTCTGAACAAGCTGGGGAAATTGCCTGGACTGTTCCCTGTTGCATAGACAAGTGTGGGTTGCGTTCCTTTCGCTTGTTTTGTGGGGGGGCACTTTAGCTGCGAAAATTCAGTATTGGACGTGAACGCGAGGTCAGAGCTGGGTCCTATGGCTTTGTTGGTGGTGTCACGACTCTGAACAACAGCTCAACACGTCGCTGTCTGCTCACAACCTCCCCGTTCTCTCGCAATCATCACTAACCCCTTCACGAGTCAAAACTCGACGTTTCAGCGATTTCACTCAAACACGACTGCTTCCCTCGCTGCAACAAGCTCGCGAATGACTCTGAACACTCTCCTAGGTCGGTACATCGCTGTGCGACACTGAAATCGTGATCCTACTATCAGGACGTTGCAGAAACACGTCAAACTCGCTCGGGATCATCACAAAACACGCTAAACCTTTCGAAATTCACCAAGAGTGTTCCATCAATGTTATGGACGTGAGACAAGTTGAGATGGGTGGTCTACAGTCTGAACAAGCTGGGGAAATTGCCTGGACTGTTCCCTGTTGCATAGACAAGTGTGGGTTGCGTTCCTTTCGCTTGTTTTGTGGGGGGGCACTTTAGCTGCGAAAATTCAGTATTGGACGTGAACGCGAGGTCAGAGCTGGGTCCTATGGCTTTGTTGGTGGTGTCACGACTCTGAACAACAGCTCAACACGTCGCTGTCTGCTCACAACCTCCCCGTTCTCTCGCAATCATCACTAACCCCTTCACGAGTCAAAACTCGACGTTTCAGCGATTTCACTCAAACACGACTGCTTCCCTCGCTGCAACAAGCTCGCGAATGACTCTGAACACTCTCCTAGGTCGGTACATCGCTGTGCGACACTGAAATCGTGATCCTACTATCAGGACGTTGCAGAAACACGTCAAACTCGCTCGGGATCATCACAAAACACGCTAAGTCAGCAGCTCTCAGGCCCTGGGCAAAAATACCTCGCCCGCCGTCGCGGTTCTATGGCGATTCCCCTCGCCTAAGCTTCGCAAACCCCATTGTTGTCATCCATGTCGTCCTCAGCCTTGGTTCACCTGACCCTTGACCCTACTCCTGGACACATGAAACCGTGCTGTGGATGCCTGACTTCGTTCCACCAAGGTTCGTATCGATCCCATCGCCCCCGTTTCCCACGCGTCTCGACGCGTCCGGCGTTGAAGCTGACGCGACCTCATCAAATGAAGCTCACCTCGTCCTCGACGTTATGATGATGGTGGGGATATCGCCATCGATGATCACAACATCACCAGCTCGCCAAGGTCGCCACCGTAACGACGCACAGGGAGATAGTGGATACCTGACTCGACCACGCCATGTCCGACGTAGGAATGGACGAACAACCTAGACGGAGCGGGAGGCAGAGGAAGGCGACGCAGCAGTATGGCAATACCGGTACCGGTACGGCGAGAGATGATGAAGATGGTGAGTTCAGGCCTCCGGCTGACGGACGACGAACTGAGGACGCTGATTGTAGAGAGGTGTTCCTTTCGGTGGTAAACGATAGATGAGCTTTCGGAGGAGGAGTTGTCAGAGGAAGAAGAGGACGAGGTGGAGTCTGACGGGGTGAGTCTAGCGAGATGCATTGCATTCCGGGAGTCAAGAGCTGATTCGACCTCTTGCTCGCAATACGAAACCTCCCTCTCGATCTCCATCTCCCTATCTGGACGCCGATCGCTATTATCTCTGACTCGCAACCTGTCTGATACACACCTCGATGAATTTACTGCGACCTCCTCTCCACTTCGATCGTAATCGCCCAAACCTCCTCCACGAGCATAGTCCATGATCGAAGTCCGCCCGACGAAAAAATCTAAACCCAACCCTCCCACCTCTACGCCGAAGAAGAAGGGCCAGACCACACCCTCTTCCGCCAAGTCCAAGTCCAAGACCAAGACATCTACGCAAGCCAGAACCAAGACCACCGCTGAGGCGAAAAGCAAGTCTTCTTCTGGGAAGGGGAAAGGAACGACTAAAGGCAAAGGCAAAGGCAACGGCAAGGGGAAGGGGAAAGAAATCGCCGGCAAGCAGGGCAAGTTGGTCGGGGATGGAGAGTTGGAGATTAGTGATGATAACGGGTTGTTCAGTGAGTTCTTCTCGGTGTTTTCTCTCCTCACCTTTGACTCGGATTCGGACGTTCGACCTTCGACATCCCAAGATCCAGGTTCCAACGAAGAACTAGTCATCCTTCACTCCGAAGACTACCTTTTACCTTTTCCTCCACTTCACTTGTTACCGCCTACGAAACACGATTTTCACTCGGCACCAAGCTCGTTAACATATTTACTGATCTCGATGATATTTACTGCCATTTCTTATCGCCATATAGACGCCCTCATGGACCCCCAAACGCCCATCATCCAAGTCCTCGAAGAGTGGTTGTTGAACTATCAAGCGACCGGCGGGGAAGGCGACGAGGATGAAGAGGAAGCGAGGGAGGAGGAGAAGAGGTATCTGGCAGAGCTAGTTGGGTTTGTTTGGAGGGTGAGTCTCGAAGGCTTGTCTCTCAGATCCTTGCGAGGGTGGAAGATGTGCTGGGAGAGGTGGATCCTTTGGGGTCGTCTCGGGTTCTGCGAGGAGGAGATATGACGTGACCCGGATGTGAGAGGAAGCTGACATGAATGCGATCGCTCGATGGATAGTGTTGTGGGCTGTCGAACGAGATCTCTCCTGACGTCGCGGACGATGTGGACGGTGCGCCGGAGAGGATCGATGATGTGCATACCGAGTTGCAGGAGGCCAAAGAGGTGAGTCGGCCAGCTTCCCGTTGGCCAAAGCGTCAAGGAGCCCATCGAGCTGATGCGTCGGTGTACGTTCTGATAGGGCCCAGTGTACCCGCTCATCTCACGGGCGAAAAACTTCAGGGCGATCCAGAAGAACCTACCCGACATGCTCATCACCTTTATCGACCTCCTCAACAACGGCCCCTTGCTCTACATTACCGACTCGTCACCACCACCCGAGACCGGACCGACGACGCCGCTGGTGTCGCTTTTGCTCACCTGGTTGAACCCGATGACCATGAGTCCGTACAGGGCTATCCGACATACGGCGACGTTTATCGCCATGTCCCTGGGAGTGGGTATCTGCAAGGTCGCGCAAAAGATAGAGGATCTGGTCGGGAAGGCCGAAGCGGGAAGGACCAAGAGGGCGGAGAACAAGGGCAAGGCGGCGGCCAGCAAGGGAGGGAAGGGTGACGCGTTCGAGACTCAGATCAGGCAAGGCAAGGCCAAGTTGAAGGTTCTGCATGAGTATCTGGACGTCATTTGGGATGGGTAGGTCCGCAGGTGACGGTCGAAACGCTAAGAGATCGACAGCTGACATTAGCCCGCTTTTCGCAGAGTATTCGTACATCGATATCGAGACAAGGATGCTGCGATCCGGTCAGACTGTCTCGTCATGTTGGGGAGGTTCATCGATGCCTACCCTCGCAAGTTTCAGGATACGGACCATCTACAATACGTTGATTGGGCGTTGACGGATTCGGTAAGTTCTTGGGAATCGGTTGCAACGGGCGCAACGAACGCTGATATGAATCGTGTCACCTGTGTAGGACCAGCATTCCCGACTGGAAGCCGTCAAGATTCTCGTCCCTCTCTACACCAAGGCCGACAACATGTCCTCGACCAGGACGTTCACCAGCCGAGCCATTCCTCGTATCATGGAGATGGCCGTTCGCGATATCAACGTGCCCGTCCGCGTTGAAGCCATCAAGGTCTTGATCGCGCTCGACGCTTCGGGCTTCTTGAGCGACGAGGACGAGGAGAGGCGGGAGAGTTTGGGCTGTCTCCTGTTCGATCGGGAGCCCAAGATTCGCAAGGCTGTGTCCGGGCTCGTACGGAATTGGTACAACGAGCGGACCGAGGATCTAAAGGCGCTGGCGGCCGAGGAGCAGGAGCGGAATGCGCCGCAAGGAGCGGCTGCCAAGCCCAAAGCACCGAAAAAGCCCAAGAGGAAAGCGCCGAAGAAGCGCAACACTGAAGCCGAAGAAAACGAGGACGAAGCGGTCGAGGACGAAGACGGCGAGCCAGAGGATGACGCTGATACCGACGACGCAGAAGCTGAAGCGGACGTTGATGACGACCGCGATCAGAGGTTCATCGAGATGAAGGTCCTGGCGTCGATGCTCATGGGTTTCTCGAGCCGTCTGGAAAGGCCGACCGATCTGCAGGACTCGCAGCTCGCCGCACCGGTTACCCAGACTCAGACACAACAAAAGCAAGCTCAGCGCGATCGGGAGCTACTGGCAGCTCTGGCGAGCGTGACGACGCCGCTCCATACGCACGCGACCGTGGCCGCCGAGACGTTCTGGAACACGGACATTCAGGCTGTCCACGATTGGGAGAGCATGATTGCCTTTTTGGCCGTAGACCATTCGACCAGCAAGGACGAAGGCAAGTTGTGGGCGCTCGAGCCGGAGCAAGAGACGTTCTTCCTGGACTTTGCGACCGTGGTAGTCACCAAGGCCGTGTCCGGAGAAAAGAGCAAGAAGGTTAGTGTCGAGACTGATTCGTCAGGATCCGCTAGCTAACCATTTCGATACGCCTCGACAGAAATCCGTTGACGAAGAAGATACTACGGCGGCGGATGTCTCCCAAGAGCTCGTCAACACGCTTCCCAAGCTGTTCACAAAATACCAGAGCGACTCTGGCCGAATGGTCGAAGTCTTGCGATTGGCGTCGCATATCGATTTTCAGACTTATTCGGAACACCGACTGGTACCGGTGAGTAGCTTCGCTCTCCTCCGCACGTGCAAGCTTGGCTGACACAGGTTCTATCGCAGGCCTACGAAGCGATGTGGAACGATATCTCGCGCCAATTTCTACGACATACCGACGCCGTTGTCTTGCGCGAGGTGCTCATCCTCATGCGCAAGATGAACTCGGCGACCTCGCTCGAGGCCACCAACCAGGAAAAGTTCGATCAGCTCAAAGAGTCCCTGTCGACCGCGCTTCACGAGACGCTGGCGGATAGGAATTTGGCAGGCGACTCGCTGGAGGACGAGGACGTACAGAACATCGAATCGGGACTTTTGCGGGTCAAGACGTTGATGTCCCAGTACAACGTAGAATCGTTGTTTACCGTCAATGAACCTGAAAGTGACGAGGCCGACATGTTCGACGTCATTTTGGCGCTGTCGTCACGTGGGCAATTGGGCTATCGATCGGAAATCAAGGTGAGTGACTCGGGTGCCTGATGTGACAAGACTCGCGATTTAGCACTCCATGTGACCGTTCCAGGTGGTACAATACGCCATGTCTATCCTCTTACTCCATCTGTCTTGGACGATGAAGGACTTGAAGCTAGAGACAGTTCAAACCGACGACACGATCCGCGTGCGGATCGAGAAACAACGAGATGCCGTCGCTCGAGTGTATGAGCAGTATGCTGTCAGCAACGAGACGAACGCAGTCGAGGCTGTCCGTCGAGAGGTATGTCCAGGGGATGATCATGATGCGTAAGGAATAGAAGCTGACGATACACCTCCACCTCGCTACTCTTCAGGCCATCTCGAACCTACTGCGTTTGCACCTGCTTTTCCGGCCGATCTCGCCTCATCCTGCCGACGCCGCGATCGCCCCCGCAAGAAAGGTCCTCTCTCTGGAAATGGACGACGCTATCCAGTATCGATGTGCAGGCGCCATCCAGGCTGCCATCGAACGACAGACCGAGATTGAACATGGCGACGATGACGCCTCGGACGCCTCGAGTGATTTGACGGTAGACGATGATGAGAGTAACGCAGAGGATGCTCGGAAACGACGACAGGAGAAGAAGGATGGAAAAGGTCAGTATAACGCTCGTGCGGTTTGCCCTTCTTGGATGCTGATTATTTCGCTTGATGATCCGCGCAGACAAGCCTCCCACGACAGAGACCCTCGTTGGATCGGCTCAACTTCAGGACCTACTGTGGAGTTTCATCCACGCTATGCGAGCCCGAGTCGTCGATGCCCAACACGCCGGGGTCATGCTTTCGCAATATGGCCGCCTCGACAACTCTTTTGACCAAGCCATGCCGTCTCTGGTTGAGGTTCTGCAAGAGGAAGGTCTTTACAACAAGGATTCGGAGATGGTCACCCATGTCGCAGCTCAGGCATTACAACAGGTAAGAATCCGTTGTTCCGGACCGTTGCGTATTAATAAGGCTGATTGTTATGCTCATGAACCCTTCTACTAGTCTTTCGAAGTCTACCTGGAATCGACATGCGAAGAACTCCCCGTCCACACGATCGATCTCGCCCGTCTACTCTCCCGAGCCTTCTTTACGCACAAGGCGGCCTTCAAGGTTCAACGACAACTCGACGCCTCAGCCATAAGCGATTTCCATCAGGACGGATTGTCTTGGGCCTTGACAAAGACGTCGGGATTCTTGCGACAGGAAAAGGCGAGCAAGGTCAAGAAGCTGAAAGACCGGTTCCGAGGCAAAGCGGCGGGTGCGATCAGGTACTTCGGGGTTTTAGGGATCCTCCTACCTGGAGTTGAGGGAAGGGAGGCTCTGAAGATGTGAGTTCACCGATCGCTATCTTCGTCTGTGATGTATCGGCTTGGCTGATCCTGACCGTCAAATCCACGTAGTAAGCACCAACTGGACATCACCATGAAAGACCTGGACATCAAACCGGCCAAGACGAAATTCTGGGAACCTCTCGCGCATTACGATAAGCGGCTCATCTCGGTCGCCGCTTCGGACAACAAGGTCAAGGCGGCCTCGAAGAAACAGGTCGACAATTCGAAATCGAAAGAGGTCGTCGACGATGATACGGAGGAAGATGATGAGAACGACGACGAGGTCGACCAGGCAGCTGCTTCGAGACCCGCGCCTAAGCAACGGAGACGCGGCGAGGATCAACCTGAAGTGGAAGTTGAAACAGGAGGCGAGGATGAAGAGGGCCAGCCGGAGGCTGAAGCTGAAGATGGCGCCGGCTCAGAACCCGGCGAGGACGAGGACGCCGTTGATCTCGAAGGCCAACAAGATGGAGAAGAGGCGGACGAGATCGATCGACCCGCCACTGCAGGTTCCAAACGGGCTCGGGAGGAGGATGACGAGGTGGAAGTAGAGAATGAGGGTCAGGACGAGAACGGCGAAGATGACGGAGCCGAGGAGGAGGATGATACGGTGCAGGATCGGCCGGTCAAGCGGACCAGGAGGGAATGAGGGGCCTTTTCGCTAGGACGTGTTTCAGTCTTCGAGCATGTTTTACGCATCGAAAGAGCCTGGTGCTGTTGCTTCTATGTCATTACGCTTTATAATCAGTAACTTGTATGTCAACATCGCATCGATGCCTTACGAACCGCCACCGCCACCAGCGGCAACGATCGACGATCCTTTACGTCTCCACACTTCTCAGCGAGACAGCGAGCATCGTGGCGTCAAGGCGGTCGAGTCGACCCTGAATCTAATTACACGCAAAGGTGGACGGGGCAGCGGACCATTCGGCTGCCAACATCGACCTCTCGCCCCGGAGCCGATGCGGAATAAGGTTTCGGGTTTGACCTCTTTGCGTGACGAACCTTGGTTGTTTTGGCTCCGTCGCTTTTCTCGGACGCGACCAGATCTTCGTGTTTATCTGATAAACACGGGGGAGAAGCGGCGGTTCGGGGCAAGTGGGATGAATGCCAAGCCGATCTGATCTGCCTATGGCTTGAAACGGGTCGGCACATTGGGGCTTCGGTACTGGCACATGAGCGATCCGTGTCGCTTAAACAGAGCGGGACGGACTTCGTCGCAGTCGGGAACGAACTGTTTGTGCACATGGAACGCGACGAAAATCTTGTCGAACGAAACAGTCAACAAGAAAGCCGTTCGAAAGAGATGCTCGGAACGACGGCCATCTGGAGTATAAAACCTGAGGATGGGATCTCTCTAGTTGCGTAGCGAAGGAGATGAGGTGAGTGTCAAGCGGATCATCGTCAATCGAGAAAAGTCAGAAAAGAATGCAGTTCATCAAAGTCACCCTATTAACAGCTCTGGTAACCTCGGCCTTTACGGTCGCCGAGCCCAATATCGCGGCGCTGAGGACATTGATGACGGATTCGAGATTCGTCGGATTAGTAGCGTTCGTTTACGAAGAGCCTTGAGAAGTGGCAGATATATCCGACGTTGAAACGCAATTAAATCTGTTCTACAGACCTTGTACAGTCGGCGGCTCCACCCGGACGACAGCTGCCGAATGGCTGAGAACGGTACGTTTCTCTGTTGGCGAACAAATCTGGCTAGCAGACAGTCACTGATAGAGACACATATGTTTGCCCTCGCCTACACATATGTTTGCCCTCGCCTTCAGGCTTTCCACGACGCCGGCTCGTACGACCATGCAGCGGGGACGGGAGGAATAGACGGGTCCATCGCTTTCGAGACGACGCGGAGTGAGAACGCTGGACTGTTCCTCACCGCCACCATCAATCAGTACAGGACGTTCCAGGTGAGTCAGGATCAGGAGAGAGGTGTGAGAGACATCTACTGGTCCTCATCGCTTGCTCTCGCGACCGGACTTCGCGTTTAGCAAGAAGGTGTCACCCTGGCGGACATGGTAGTGAGTCGCAAATTACCCGCCTGATTAACGCATCAATATCGTCACTGATTCGTTGCATAAACAACAGGTATTGGGAGCTATCACAGCAGTCGGAGTGAGCTTCCATTTCATGTGACTCCGCATTCCGAGTCCAACCCAGCTGATCTTCGTCTCTCGTTCATTCCTCATCATTCAGGCATGCGGAGGACCTGTCATCCCATTCCATGCTGGACGATTGGACGCTGCTAGTGCGGCTATAGAAGGTCGTCTGCCGTTGCCCGAAGAGACGACTGAAACGCATCTTCAAAAGTTTGCGAGGATGGGATTCTCTCCGTGAGACTTTTCAATCGTCGGTCGGGATGACGAACGAAAGGTTACTGACCGAGATCTTTACGGATTGTCAGACAGGAGATGGTAACGCTGGTCGCCTGCGGACATAGCATCGGCGGCGTGCATGGTGTGAGTCGTATGGCTTGTCGCGGTTCGAGACTTGCGGGATCGCTAAACAAGTCGTTCGCAGACGAATACACCCCTGGTCACCTCGGCCAGGATCGCTCCGTGGGTGTCTCAGACGGTAGCTGCAGCAGGCCTCGTACTTTGCTGACGGATTACAAGATTCTAGCTTCGACTCGTCTCGTACCGTTTTCGACAATGCGGTCGCCAAGGAATATGCTAGCGGACAGACGATCAATTCTCTGGGACAACATTTCGACCCTACCGCGCCTAACGATCCGGGCAACTTGGCGAGGAGCTCGGACTCGAGAACTTTTTCGGTCGATGGGAATGCTACCATCAATCGATATGCCGCCTCGCAAGACGCCTTTTTCACCGATTGCGTCTCTTCGTTCGGAAGAATGTTCAACGATGGTAGATATCCACGCATGGGGGATCTCATCCTCGCCTGCAGAGTCTGACCCACCTTTTTTGCGCTTACAGTTGTTCCAGCCGGTACATCCCTGACCCCGGCCATCGTCCCCTACACCGTCAACATCGGTATGCTCATCACGCTCCGGAACGAAAAGCTCAACTTGCAGAGCGGTAGTGCCCGGGTATACGACATGGCGGGCAAGTACCGCGCGTTCGAGATCACCTACGTCAACCGGGACGGATCACCGGGGTCGAACGCGAACATGCTGTTCGTACGCGCGCCGAGGACGAATATCGAACGGCAAGTCGATCGAATTGAGGGATTTCTCGACGGCAAGTCATGTTCATCCGTGGTATGACGTCGCTACCCGAAGGTTTCTTGGAAGCTGACTGTGGGGAATTGCATGGATTGCTTAGAGAACGGCGGTCGATCCAGTCTCCGGGTAAGCCCATACTGAAACTCTGGGCCTGAGCCTTTTGTGAGCTGGATCGCTAAATCCCCATGTTTCGCTTCCAGGATTTCCGCTCTGAAAGCCGTGCTCACCATGAACGACGGTAGTACCTTCTCAAGCCCAGAGGGTACGGAGACGCTCAAGATTGACGACACCATCCTTGTCGTGAGCCGCAAGGGTCACCCTTTCTCGACGTGGCGCGAAGTGCCTTCCGTTCCCCCTTCGGGACTCGGCTGACGAGTCCCGTCCTATCTGATCTGTGATCTGTAGGACCAAGGAGCGGCGTTCACTTGCAAGCATTCGAACGGGGGGATCAACATCACCGTCGCCGTCCTCGGTCCGTATGACCCGAAGGACAAGGTGGAGATCATCTGGGACAAGGTCTCGGATCCGACAAGGACGAGTCGGGGGGAATCGTTGTTGGCGGATTATAGGAGGGCTCGGCCGGATACGCCGTATAACGTACGTAGAGAACGATGAAAGAGCGGGGGGGGGGGGGGGGGGGGGGGGGGGGTCCGAGGAGCCTTGTGGGCGAATGTACTGACTTTCGTTCTGATTGCCCTGTGGTCTGATTCTCTCTTTAGTACTACGGCGTGTGAGTCGACAGCTCGAACGAGGAGAGCGGAAGGCGAATGAGCCAAGCTGACCCTGCACATTGCCATAGATTTGTGCCCGTCGCCATCGCCGCCGATATGGCCAATTTCGGAGCCCAGATGACGAGGGCCGACGGGACCGTGCGGAGCGACACTAAACAGGGTTCGTCCTCGCTGGGACGGCATCTCTTCTTGTATAGAAGGGTAGGAAGGCTGATCTACTGCGTCTCTCGGTCGACTTGCCATGGGTTCCGGTGCATACAGGGATCCTCTACCGGACGAGCGCTCTTGACGATTGTCTGCCCGGAGCAGAAATCCCTCTCCCTGGACCACGGGCGACGGCGACATTGACCAGGCGGTCTCGAAGTCAACTGGCCTGTCCGATACTCGGGTATACGAGGTGTTGGGATACCTGTGTGAATACCGCCAGCGACATCTTTCATTGTGGAGGATGCGTGGATCAGGAGGACGGAGGGGTGGATTGTTCCGAATTGGGAGATGATGTAGGGTGTGTGAATGGGAGTTGTGTGGTGTACCAGTGATTGTCTTTCTCTTGCGGTAATGCGAAAGATCGATACCCCTGAATCGCTGTAGGAACCGTTCCATATCCGATAGGTAGCATGACGGATAGTTGCCGGCACATTGGGGGGTGATCGATTGGGTCAGATCCCAGGAGACGCCGGCCTCCAGTTTTCGAAGACTCGATGGAGACTACAAAGGACTGCACCTCGCAAGTATAGCACCGTTCATGTCCATCTTTGACGAAGATGAATCGCTGCAACCTTTGGTACACGTCATACGATTGTTTCACACCGATCACGTGATTCGGATCGGTGACTTGTCCTCTGATCGTGCCTGTCGGCGATCCCTGGTGGCCCTGTCTCATCATCATCGACCGATCATCATACATGCAACTTGCAACTCGTCCGCTTCCGGATCCTCGTGACTTCCCCTCACAAGGCAGACCTTCTCCTTTCTTACCTTCACTTCAGGCGGGACCCCCACTTTCCCCGAGTCGGGGGCGATCAAACACCTGACCACGTCTTTGGTATCCGCGCTACTACTAGCGACTGTGCCGAAACTCGGGACCAGGGAAATAGTCGAGCGAGAGTCACGAGATCGTCGATCTCGATTGTCGGCTCCAGGCTGGATCGATGATGTTTTCCTCTCGTTTTTTTGCCATCGAGAGACATGGTAGAGACCGAGGTCGACCTACCGGCACTGAAAAATGTTATGATTATAGCCACAGCTGTCTACACGAGCTGATCAGATTATCACCTCGACCCTCATCGTCAAGTCGACCAGAAAAGACTGTTTACTCGCTTTTTCCCACTTTGGACATTCAATAATACACACCCGATCGGCCACATAACATCGTATCTCAATCCCGTCAGTTATCTATCTATCGATCATCGAATATGGACATCCCACCTTCCATAGGCAACGCCACCTACCCCATCTCCTACTTTTTAGGGTACAGGAAATCCCACCCGAAGGACGAACAAGACCCGTTACTCATCGCCAAGGGGTTGAGGTCGGGAGGGTTGATGAGGAAAGTCGAGTATTGGGTGCATACGTTGGTAGCGGCTTATGTCGGGTTGATCTTGGTCGGTGAGTCCTGCGTCGTGTAGGGAGCATTTTATGCTACGCTCGAGACGAATGGCAGAGCTGATATGTTGCTCGCTCTTCTCTGTGTTCTGCTTGCCTTCTGTATTTCGCTTGTCCGTCGGTCTTGATCGACAACCACAGGGTTGACATCCAAGGCCAACCCGTTTGCGAGCAGGGGAGCTCCGGATATCATCGGTGCTTTCGGGGCCATGGCCGTGCTGCTCTGTGAGTTCGAGCCCTTGTCGACCCTTCACCCCGATCAGAGATCACCCCGCTCATCTCACCTGATCTCATCCCGCACCTCATCTCGCCTGAATCCATATTCCCCTTCTAATTCCTCTTCCCTCTCTCTTTATTTTCTTTCCGCTGGGACTATACTATAATCACCGACAGACTCATCCTGGACCCTCCCGATCAACCAACCCCGCCCGATAATCGTAGGTATAACCCTCTCATCCCTCATCGGCGTCGGCGTAGCAAGACTCTTCGCACTCCGAGTCCCGCCGGGGACCTTTCCCAGCGGGTACGAGAACGATTGGGCGGCTGCTGCTACGGCGGCAGCGTTGGCGTTGTTGGTTTGTCAGATCTTGGAGTCTCCGTGAGTTCCGATTCGAGCGAGGGGATACTGTATGGATCACAGTGGGAGAGGGTTTTGGGATAGCTGATCCCAAGAGAGATGTCTTGATTTCACTGTACTGTGTCGTGTCGTGGCGCCCAGATCCGCACCTGGTGGAGCGGCGGCGGTGATCGCTTGTACGAACCCGGCGGCGTACCATATGGGTTGGATGTGTGAGTACACTGCAGCTGTACTCTGATCTTTGGCTTCCTCTTCTTATCGTTGTGTGTACTGATGGAAATCCTGATCGTGCTATGTTGATACTACCGTAGATGTCGGGTACGTCCTCAGTGAGACCCTCGTTGCGGTCGGTTGGGCGTTGATCATCAACAACCTGGGGACGAGGTGAGCGATCACTTGCATCTGCGCCGTTCTCTGAGATTCTGCGATGGGGGCTAACGCTACGATGTGCCGGGGTTCGTGGTGTGCTGCCAGACGATACCCTCAATGGTGGATCCACGAATCGATGATCCCGAAAGCACACGGGGAAGAGGGGGACAAGGAACAGTCCGAGGCGTAGTGCGCTCGTTCTTTCGAGACTTCGGAGCCATCAATATCGAGTCCATCTAGGTCCGGCTTGAACGACGGTGAATATGAATTCTCTGCGGAAGCACGAAGCTCCTAATCAAGTGATCGTGATCGACATAATTTCCACTTTATAATAGACCGGATGCTAGATCAAATTATTATAATCTGACCATGCCATGAGCAGAGGTCCGATAACCCTCCATTCGGAAGATTACATGTCATTTTGAAATCGAAGCTCGAATTGCGCATAGGAGACCGGGCACAGGCCTCCGTGGACTGCAATCACCCTTGATCAACCAGCTTGGTACTGCCATGAACGATACGTTGCGCCGTTTGCGCTGTCTTGTCTCGCCACCCATGAACATCTTTGCGGCGCCCTTAAGCGCTTGATGACGTTTGCATCTCCACCTCGAGTTGTAGATAGGGGCAAGTTAGGGGTCGCAACTTGTATTTCTGATCGCAATATCCGTCCCATAACCACCGGATTGCCTTGCATATAGCTAGCACCCACAGCAAGACATCTCGTCATTATGAGCTTCAAGCATAACACGGCCAAAGTATCGACGGGCATCGATGTTCACTACGTCGAAGCTGGCGACCCAAGCGACCCTTGCGTCATCTTGATTCACGGGCAAGTCCATCCTCTTTCGAGATCAAGCTGAGACTGAGATATCGAACTACCGATCTCACGATTCCATCTATACATTGCATCATATCGATCGAACAGCTACCCGCAGACATGGTACATGTACCGTCACGTCATCGCCGACATGGCCAAAGCCGGCTACCACATCATCGCCCCAGACTACCGAGGAGCCGGGCAGACGTCCTTGTCCCCTACACAAGACTCCAAGGAAGATACCGGGTACGACAAGTTCTCCATGGCCGCGGACTTGCACGCCTTGTACAAAGAGGTATTGGGGGTGGACAAGGCGTTCATCGTCGGGATCGATATCGGGAGTATGGTAGCTACGGCTCTGGCCTTGAAGTATAGGGAGGACGTGATCGGGTTGTTCGCTTCAGGTGAGTGGGGGTTTGAGAGCTCGGCTTCCTCTTTATTTCTCTTTGTTTCCTGTTTGTTTCCTCTTTCTTGCCTACTTGTGCTTCTCGGCCCCTGAACAATCCAACTGATAACACCCCCCATCCTATACTGCACGATCCAGAATGCCCTCAACCTGGGACCAAGGCGTATGAAATCTCCACCACCTCAGACGTCTGGAAGTACGAGAGGGTGTATCATTTCTTCTTCCATACCGGTAAGTATCTCATTCTTGCCCTTTGTTACCCTTCATTGCCCTTGCTGTTCTGGTCACATCTGGCTATACTATAGCGCAATTTCTGGGCGTGCAAGCTGATACTTGCTCGTCACCGTGACTGCCATGATACTGGTTATCGTATACAACAGCGCCTGACCTACCGGAAGCGTTGACAGAGGGCAAAGAGGGGTTGTATATCAAGAGCTTTTACGATCGATTGGTACGCCCGGTCATCTCCCTGCCTGTCTCGTCTCATCTAGCCTTAAGGATTTAAGTCTGATTGATATTCTCCCTTCCATACTCTCCCTGTACGGGGCGATTCTTCTTGGTCTCGCAGACGAGCAAACCCGACTTCCTCACCCCCTCCGACCAAGCCGAATACACCTCAGCCTTTTCCGCTCCAGGCCGGATGAAGGCGGGTTTCGAAGTCTATCGAGCGTTCCGGCGAGACTGCGTAGATGTCAAGCGGGAGATTGGGGAGAAGGGCAAGTTGAGCAAGGAAGTACCCGTTTTGGCTTCTGGTGGAGAAAAGAGCCCTTTGAGCGAGGTGAGTCGAGCTCTGTATTGGGGTCGAGTTGGTTTGTCAGATTCTGATAAAATACTTGATTTTCTGGGATGGGACGGTATACTCTAGCTCGCTCATGGGATGATGCAAGAGTTGGCGGAGAATGTCACTTTCGAACTCGTCCCCGATAGTATGCACTGGATCCCAGAGGAGAATCCTGAAGGGTTCGTCGAGTTGCTAACCAGGTGGATGGGTCGAGTTCGGGAAGAACAGAAGTAGCTGGCATCACTCGCAAACAAACACGTTGTATAGATATATTTCACTTTCGACATATTCTCAATTCCGCATTCCCCTTACAGGTACCTTTCCCCTCCGCTCGAGTCACATCGACGAGACCGAGGAGTCGCCCGCCACCGCTCACTGCCTCTGCGCCTCGATCGACCTGACATCCTGTACCCACTGAATAGGGTCGCTGGCCTTCATCACCCGGTTCGTCGTCTCTCCCATCAAATGAGGGTCCCTTCCGAAAAAGTCATAAGGGAATCCGAAATCGAACGGGTTGACCTCTTCGAGCTTTGCGACGTGGGCGTCGGTGAGGGTGATCTCTAGGGACTTGATGTTGTCCTTGAGGTGTTCGACCTTGCGTCCGCCGACTGCGAGGCCAGAGCGAAATGCATGTCGATATCAGCGAACTCGTCCGACATCTTTAAATACGTCTTGCGGACACCTACTGATAGGGAAAACATAAGGCATCTTCCTAAACGCCCAAGCGAGCGCCACCGCCGTAACGCTCGCCCCTAGCTCATCCCCAATCTCCGCCAAAACCTCGCTAACCCTCACATCCTTTTCCGACTGTTCCCCCCCTCGGATAGGTTCGTTGCTCGCTTTACGTTCTTCGAGTTGTTGCTTGGACATGAATTTCCCTTGGCCGATGACTCCCCAGGGGGCGAATCCCATTCCTTCTTTACGGAGCATGGCTGCGGGCGAGTATCCAAACGAAAGAGTAACGTGAAGTGGAGTGGTGTCAGAGTCAGCGCTCGAATCGAATTGAAGGCATCGAAAAATTAAGAAGAGGTATGAGTATAGCGATCCGCAGCACTCACGCAAAACCTCCCTCTCAACATCCCTCACGCTAACATTCCACAACCCCTGATAAAGGACAAACGGCGAATACCCATGTTGCCTCGCAAAAGCATTGGCTTGTACGACGATCCAGGCTGGGGTATCGCTGACGGCCGGATAAAGAATCTCCCCGCTGAGGACGTGTCGGTGGAGACCACGCATGATCTCGTCGACGGGGGTGGAGTAGTCCCTGTAATGCAGCGTCACGCAGGGGGAAGGAAAAAGTCAGCGGGGATCGAGGAGGAAGAGGCGTGTGAATAAGAGAAAGAGAAGCAGTAGAGAGAGAGAAAGGGGTGAAAAGTCCTGACACGGAGACTCACCAAAAGTGCACGTAAAACACATCAATATAACTCGTCCTCAACCTCTTCAAACTCTCCCTCACACCCAAGTGCATACTCTTCCCCGCATTCCCCATCGAATTCACATCCTTCTGTTCCCCATCATTAAACCCGCTGTATTTAGTCGCGATAACCAAACGGTCCCTATTTCCTCTCTGTTCCATCCACTCTCCGATCCATTCTTCAGACTCGCCGAAATGGTACAAGTTGGCCGTGTCGATAAAGTTGCCGCCGGCTTCGACGAAGGCGTCGAGGAGTTCAAAGGCGGCTTCCTTGGTGATCTTTCCCGTAAAGTCTACAATAACGATATGACACACAAAGTGCAGCAGATGCGGAGACGAGTCAGCGAGATGATATAAGCCATCCTATCTTGTATCGTTGTATTGTACACCCTCGAGCATTCCTAGACTGACCGGCCCATTTCGATCCGAGGGACATTCCACCGAGACAAAGGGGAGAGACCCTGACCCCGGCGTTCGGGGCGAGCAGTCGACGATAACCCAACGGGGTCTTGGGCGCGGGAGGGGGATTGAACATGCTCATTCTTGCGCGGTAGTGGGTCGGGTTGATTTGCTTGTGGATTCGCCGCTTTGGTCTTGCGATAGATGTGTGAGTGGGGACATTGACGACCTTCGAACACCTTTACCCCTATGTATTACCCCTATATATATACACGAGTTGTCGTTGAATCAATGACGCACACACGCGCCGCTCCTCGACCTCCACCTCGGTCTCTGTGTGTTCTTCCTCCTCGATCGTCCAATCCACATCTCCTACCCACCAACTCAATCCTCCTTCGACCTCCACATCCACCTTTGTCGTGCTCCACCTTCCTCCCTCTCCCTCCACCTTGAGATCTTGTTTCGTCATCACCTTCGGCTGAATCGTCGGGATGACCAGCCAGCCGAACATACGCGCGTCCTCGAGAGAGTATCCCAAATTGCCGTCATCCTCTCGTCTCGCGTCTTGCCATGCGTTGAGCCTCGTCCAACAATCTTTCACTATCAGTCGATCTGCTTACCGGTATGACAACAAGCAAAAAGCAACAAACTTAAGACTCTGCCTACAATAAAGGTCGACCAAGGGGTCTCTTCCCATCGCATCGATTGTTGATTGTCGATTGGCCGGTCGGTCCGCACATTGGCGACATCGGACGCAGATCCGACTATCCGACTATCCGACTACTGTATAAGGGAGTTTGCGATCTCGATTGCACGTCGGAGTTAGACGACGTCGAGCTTTTTATCACAGGTTCCAATGCGCATAGGATGTAGCAAGAGAAACGACGAGTCATTGTGCAGGCTCGATCGCACGTCCGTCGACTTGTTCGTGCACAGGCGTCGTAGTCAAACCCCCTGAGAGAGTACGGTACGATCTTCACAACGATGCAACGATGCACCCTCGCCGCGTCTTGCGTTACGTTCATGCGGGGTTACCCTCCGGGTTGCGTCACGATCAAGCAATTGAGGATCGCCGGGCAAGCCAGATCGATGCACTGTATATACTTTCGATAAGCAGAAAAGGCGGCATTCGAGACTCGGCTAGCATTGCATATATTGTTCTGTTTGGATACATAGGGTCGGTACGAGCCGAAGTGATACAGTTCAGAGCTTGAATTTAATCTGATTATGAATGGTAATAACGTAACAATCGAACGTCCTCTTCTTTCGATCTCGCCTCACAAGCGATGACGCATGACGCATGACGCTCTTAGGTGGATCAAGCCGGCTGAGCCTTCTTGTTGTGCACAGCAACAGGAGTGGGGCCAGCGGCGGTCCTCTGCGAATCGCTCGAATCGAATCGTCGTCGTCGGTTCTCTCCATGTTCGCTGTGTTCGAGCATCATCGATTCGCCCTTGCTCTTTTCGTCCCTGATGGCTTCCTTTCTCGAGGCGTAGGGCTGCGTCGTCGAATGTGAGGTTGAGCTATCAGCCTGGAGCAATCGATCGATATATCCCATACGCCACACTCGGGCTCGAGACTCACCTCGGGCGCCCACTTCCCGGACTGCCAAGGTTTCAACCCCGGTTCGCTGTACATGGCGTCGATCATCTCCAACGAGATCCCCGAAGACTCGTACAGGAAAAAGTAGGTAAAGACCGCGGCGGCGAGGTTGCAACCGGCAAAGACGAAACCGTAGCCATAGTTGATCTCTCTGGTGATGAAGGGGGTGAAGAAGGCCTGCAAACGCCGGACTCGGATCAGCAGTCGATCGTGGGGTGGTGCAGGTGGGGGGTATTGCGCTCACGATCAAAAAGTTCCACAGCCAGTTCGAAGCGGTACCTAACGCGGCCTGACGTGATCGCTACGTGACACGAAAGAAAGACGAGGATGAGCGACCGACCTCAAGCCTTCCGATCCTGCCCCTGCACTCACGTTCTTTCGAGTCCCGGTCTCTCCGATCAAGATCCAAATCCCCGGCGCCCAGGTCGAGGCGTACGAAAAGATGAAGAGCGCGGCCGAGACGATCATCAAGGTTCCGTACTTCTTCTCTTCCGGGTTGCCTCCTACACCGGCTCCAGCAAAGACGAACAACCAGCAGGATTGCCAGATACCTCCGATGATCAATGGCCATCGTCGAGAGAATCGTCCCATGACCCAGATACCGAAGAACTGCGGGTGTCACCAGGGGGTCAGGTCATGAAGTTCAGCTCGGGGGAGCGGGGATGCAGCGAATCGATCCAGTGAGGACTTACCGTGCAGACAAACTAGAGGGCGCGCAAAAAGAGTCCCAGACGTTTCGTCAGCATAGACGTCGTGCCGCCAGACCAGGACATCAAACAACTCACGTTGATCGCTCCGAGGATGATCTGGGTGACAAACGAGTCCTCGATCCCGACCGACTGGAAGATGGTAGCTCCGTAATAGAAGAAGTACTAATCGCACACGTTGTCAGCCCACGATCGAGAATCTCGCCTTCACACCGGGCAAACAACCCTCGGGACTCACGTTCGCCCCGGTCAACTGCTGGAACGCCATCATGACGATCATAACCATGGTCCTATAAGGCGCCTTGTTATGCACCTCCTTGCCTTCCCCGAGGAAACACTCTACCCAACTGCCCGTCCCCGCGCGTTTATCCAGCTCGTGTGCGGCCCACTGCTCGTCAAAGTCCGAGTTGACCAACGGGTGGTTCTCATCCAGCCCTCTGACACGGGCCATCCCCCTACGGGCTTCCTCCGTCCGGCCCTTTTCTATCAACCATCGAGGGGATTCGGGGACGAAGAAGATGCCTACGCCGAGGATGAGGCAGAAGACGAGTCCGAGGGCGATGACGATTCGCCAAGAACCCGAGTTGTCCAGTTCCCGAGTGCCAATCGAAAAGGCGTAGGCGAGGAGGACTGCCGACCGCGCATCATCATCAGCCTCACTTCTCCTTGCCACGAGGTGTAAACCTCGCCCACACGCCGTACTTACTACCCAGAGTGATGGCCAACTGATAAGTACTCGTACACGCCCCCCTGACCTGTTTCGGGACCGACTCTGCCTGGTACACCGGGACGGCGGCTGAGAGGCCTCCTACGCCCCATCCGGAGATGAACCTGCCCATCATGATCTGGACCCAGGAGGTAAAGGCGGTGACTACCAAGTCCAGGAGGAGGTGGGGCGAAAGAGGGTCAAGGTGTAGGTGTGAGCTTTTCGACATTTTGACGATCGAAACGAGAAGACGAATGATCGAGCCCGGGAGGAAATCCCGCCCTAAGTGTACTCACCCTGAATCAAAACCCCCACACTAAACATCCCACAAAAGATCGCAATCGCCTTCCTCCTCCCCAAATAATCGCTGAAATACCTTCCCACGATCGCTCCAATAAGAGTCCCAATTGACAACAACCCTACAACCAAGCCTTCTCTGACGACGCTGAATTCCTTTTCGCCGGCCGAGTTGGTCTGGGCGAACCGGTCGAGAAAGTCTTCCATGAGGAGGATGTCGGCGATTTGGCCGGTGTCGTAGCTGGTGGTTTGGGATTTGCAGTTTGGGGGTTTGGGGTATGGAGTTTGGGGGTTTTGGAGTTTGGGAGTCGTGAGTCGTGGGAGTCGTGGGAAGAGTGGAAGAGTGGATAGTTGATAAAACAAGGTCAAAGCGGGTGTGGGTGGCAGTATTGTCAGCTCGAGGAAAATACGGAAAGCGGACTGGACGATGCGACTCGCGACTCACCCGAAAAGAAGACCTCCCATCGAGGACAACAAGGTCAGGACGATGGTCGTCGGACCGATAGTCTACGGTACGATACGATACGATACGGCAGAAGTGGCAATGCGTGATGTCAGCTAGATGTTTTTACGACAAAGACAAAGAGTAACGGTAACGGGTCGGGTGACATGACGTACGGTTCCGCGGACGAGCATGATGATGAAGATGAGACGATCTCTACTCGGTTCTGCAGAAGAAGATTATAGGTTGGCAAACGAGTTGTAGTCAAGAGGTGTTGAATGTCCGATTTCTGAATAAAGCAGTCCAGACTTTTTCTTTTCGACCTGTCCACTTCGACCTCCCTCGACCTGGATGTTTGAATATTATATATGAAACCGGTCTGGGCTGACGGATGACGGACCACATCATCCCGTAACGTCGTCCCCGACATTCGCACGCTTGCAACTTCGGCGGCCCCGTTCGCGTGGACCTGTGTCAACCGCGGGGGACAAGGAGGTCGATGTGCTCCGCAACCGAAATCCCATCCCATCAGCTGATCCGAAACGAGGGGGGAGGGGGATCACATGGAGTCCCCCTCCTGCTCCCCCCGCCCTATGCTGCCCGATCACCGATTGATGACGTTTCATCCTCATTTCTCATTTCCAAGAGATGGATTGCCGATCTTCAGACCAGACCCGGGAATCGATGACGTAGTTGCATTCATTGTACTTCACACCATATCTCGCCGGCCAGGGCATACGGGGCAGACAACCGGGGGTGGAGGGGGTGACGCCAGTGGCGTCCTGTGTGGAGGGACCTCCGGAATCGCCCTCGTCCACGCGGCGGGGCTATCGGGCTGGGAGGGGGTGTCTCGGAGCTCTATCACTGATTCTAGCGCGTGACGTATGGACGGAAATAGAATCGGGTGTTCCCCATGCCGGCATGCAACCCGGGTTTGGCCGATGAATGGAGTGCGGAGCAGAGAGAGAAGAGAGAGATCCGACATGTTTCAGTCTCCCGGAAGGCCGGTGTCACGTGACTTCGCGACCTACATAAGCACAGCGCCGACGTCTACTGTATCTAGACCCCCTTGTAGTAGCATAGCCAACCGATGTCTACCTAGCTAATGGCGACGCAAGCTGTCGACGTGCTAAAGCTGGTGTAGACAAGGTCAGTACCTAGTTGAACTTGAGCCTGAGCCCGGAGCCCTGAACCTGAACCTGATCCCGGAACCACGTCACGAAAAAATTTTCTCCCGCCACCCGATTTGGTAGTTGATGACATCGACGGCAGATCGACACATCACAGCGTCAGCGACTGCTAGCACCATCTTCAACGACAACCACTCGGGTAGTGAAAGCAGCGAAGGGTCATATAGGACCGCCAGACCGGTTCAACAAACACCCGTACGAACATCCTTTCGACCCCCTTTGCCACAAAAACGACGGCACAGCCCCACTCCGAGTTCGAGACCACCTACACCCCCTTCTCCTATATCCCCAGTTTCTACTCAGACGTACCCACAAGTCAAGATGGAGGCGATTCCTCGATTCTCCGGTAGCGAACCGAAACTCTTCTTGAGGAAGTTCGAAGCCGCGATGTTGATGCTGAAGGAGGATGTAGACGAGCGAAAAGCAATCTATTTGGCGACAGCGATGGACCCGGATACAGCGGCCGATCGGTGGCTCGAATCGGTCCCGAGCGGCCTGCGAGGAAACTATCCGTTGATGGTCGATTCGTTCAAGAAGAAGTTTTGCAAGGACGAGATGGATACGGAGAAAGGAATGATCGCGTTGAATCGGCTCAGCGAAATGAAGCTAGCTGATGAAGACATTGGGGTAGTACGAGATGGAAAATCTAGGAACAGGAAGTATGTGGAAGAGGTGGAGAAGTTGTTGACGAAGATCCCGAAGGATACGACTGAGACTTCGAAAGCGGTGGCGTTGCTGGCGAACATGGGAGCCCATACTCGAAGGCTGATTCAGAATCGAAGGCTATACAAGTTTGATGAGATCATGGACTTCGTGCGAGATATGGGTGAGATGGACGTCGACGAGGTCAGGAGGAACGTCATGATCGACAGGGGATCTGGCTGGAGGAACTCGTACACGTTCTCGCCACAGACTTCACCTCAACAGTATCGCCCTCAACAACCTCTACGATCTTTCAACTCCTCTTACCAACAGCGACAGCCGCAGTACTCTCAGCAAGCCACCTACTCGGGATCCAGTTCGTTTGACGATCAGAACATACCTCCGGAAGACAGCAGCCGTCGGATGAACAAAGGTAGCGTGGCCCCTGATCAGCAAGTACGAATCGACAGTTGGATGAAGGCGCACCCAGGCGTATCCGATCCCCCAGCCGAGAGCAACTTTCCCTTGACACCCGGGACTCTACCAGCCGGGAACAGCGAGTGCTATAGGTGCGGTCAGAGAGGACACCGATCGAGGGATTGTACCGGGAACCCTTTGCCTCAGATGGAGCAGAGGTACAGGTACAACGTCTCTTCCCGAAAGATTGCTGATAGGTCCTTCAGCTTCGGAACCGGAGCAAACGCGGCGGCGCCTATCAGATCGATTGCGTATAGGGAACCGGAGTACAGAGATATGGATGAAGACTACGAGTACGGCCTTTCGTCCGCCCCGAGCTGGGAGGTGCGAGAGACGGGACGAGGTTGGTTGGATTCGGAAAACGACTACGGGTTGGGGCAGTAGAGGGCTCCCTGACCCGGAACAAGCACGAACCCTCTGGGATCGGGACGGCACGCGCGGAGGTGAGAGCGGTAAGGCCAGATGTTAGGAACCTGATGGGAGAACAGCATACAGAGACGATGAACAATGATGCGGGGACGACTTTGTACAAGGAAGAAGCTCGGGTCCAGCCGCCCCTGGGGATACCACATACGTTGCAGATCGGCGGATATACGTTCTCAGCGGGGAGGAAAGGTTTCGCAGACAGCTGTGCGGCAATCAACGTGATCAGCTGGGACTTTTACGGTCTTCACAAGGACGGGATCGGACCGTTAAAGCCAAGTACTATGATGGTCACAGTCGCTGATGGATCGCCCCACAAGAGTAAGGGCACCGTCAAAGCGAATGTCATCATGCAACACGCGAACGGATCGATCAAAGCGCCAACGACTTTCGAAGTGCTGGAGAGCCACGATAGTTGGAACGTCCTTTTCGGATTACCTTTCCTTCGACAAACTCGAGCAGTCATGGACTTCGGGACTAGGACGATAGTCATCGACACGCAAGATGGGCCGGTCGCTTTCAAGGCCTACGGTGACGAGGTGAAGAGCTATGATGACCCAAATATGGTCTGGTCGGTGATCGTGGACGATGACGATACTGGAGTTTTACCGGACTTGACGCCCTGCACGGTGGATGCAGTCGATAGAGCGAACAGAGTCCTGACTCAAGTAACCATCGGAGACGAATTGACCGACCAGCAAAGAGGCATCGTTGAAGCAATGATCAAGAAATACCACGAGGCGTTCGCGCTTTCGCTCAACGACATCGAACCGACCGATCTTGGCGTTCACGACTTCGAAGTAGGCGAATGCAATCTACCTCTCAGGTCGAAGCGAGGTCGATATTCGGAACCAGAGCTGGAGGCGTTGTACGCCCACGTGGATGCGAACCTGGAGGCGGGAATCATCAGGCCCATCGACCACAACCAGGTCAGATGTGTCTCGGATGTGATCCTCGCGCCGAAGAAGATGGATACCAGTATACCGGACGACAGAGCTAAAGCCATGATAGACGGAGCGTTGAAGGATTACCCGGGCAGGGGCATGGATGGGAAATCGCACCTAGAGACGTCGCCTGAGCTGCCCATCTCAGGTGTCACGACGCGGCAGGGGTCACCCCTGCGTATGCCCTCGGTGAGTCCCACCGATAGAGTTGAGAACAACCGTGATACCGCTGAGTCAAGTGGTACAACGAACAGCGAAGCAAAGTCGGACCCAACGGCGAGGTACAGAGTCGTTCATGACTTCCGCCCGTTGAATCGGAACATTCGCTGCGCACCATATCTCCCGGGCAACCTCCACGACATGACCGCGAAACACAGTGGGAAGAAGTTCCTACTTGTGTTGGATCAGATGGGAGCGTTCTTCGGATACTCGCTTGCACCGAGCGCGCAGCTATTATAGGCGTCACGTGACGCGCGACCTATGGTGCGCGTCGCCTCGGGGTCTCGTTCGGAGACCCTCTCGGGGACTCTCTCGGAGACCTTTTAGGAGATGTTCTCGTAGACGTCTAACTAGTACCTTGTAGTAGTTAGACATCCGTTATTACATTACTATGCCTATCGTTACCTTTCCCCAGTCCCGCGACCTTATTACCTCAAGACCCGGCAGGTCGGCTGCCAGGCCTTATAGAATAACGGATCACCAAAGGACCCCGGCTGGGAACGCGAAAAGGGGTAGTGATGGGATCCCGCTGCACATTGGTGCTAGCGCTGTTACGACTAGGTAGAACCTCGGTGTTAGGTCTGCTTGATCGGATGTATTTTCTAGTCAGAGCTCTCAGGACGAGAATCGTGCTTCGTTTGGTGCTGGTCGATCTTTAGCCGTTGCCTTAAGATCCTTGAATAACGATTCGTCAATCGTAATTCGTCCGGTTGGTGTGAGTGGTTACTACGATTCGATAATCGTCACTCGTGTAGGTCTCTGTGCGGTAGCTAGTCGCGATAGTCGATTCGTCCTACGTATCGACTTAAGAACCAATACCACTTCGTCGTACGCAGGGGTAAAGAAATAGGGAAGTGTACTTAACGAGTAGCCGTGCACTGCGTGCTCGATAAGGGGTAAGGCGGTGGAAAATGTTGTTCTGTAGTCTTTGTTTGTAACCTCTTCGTCTAGCGTATGCTAAGATTCGAATGTAATAACGAGCTTGAACTTCTAGTCGAAAGGATACAACTGCTATCGTTCTTCTATCCTATCGAGCTATAAGTACTGCGCTCGTTTCTCCTTTCGTGCTTCCCCAACGATCGTCCAACGAATCGTCTTTCGTCCTTACTCGAGTAAACCGGAAAGGGAAAGCACGCCTGCTGTTGACTTCACCTAGGTCCCCGTCTGTTCTCTAAGGTCCGTCACATTACCCGATTCAATGCTAAGGTCGTCCTACGTCCTTCTCATCTTGGTGAACCGTCCGCCGTTGTTTTGGCAAAGGTGGAGAACGTCGGTGGTCGATCCTCAATGTCTTTCAATCACCGGCGTATCGTCTAAGTCAGATATCGTTCCTTGTTTTTGCTTTTGTCTTTTATTGATCGACGATTGTCGATTCGTCTTCCGTCCCTGTGTTGGACCTTGTAATTACTTCCCGTCCCTGTCTAAGGTCGTTTCGTCTTTTGTGTAGGCAGACGTCCGTTCCTTCGATGTCGGTTTCCCCAACGTATCGTTCTTGATTTCGTCCTTGTACCTGTCACCTCCGGTGAGGTCGGTTACCTCGGATAACTTGACAAGGCCGATTTGTGAATCGCATGACGTGTCAAGTGTCGGGATGAACGAGATGACGGATGCTGAAGCGCGCGCGCGCTTGTCGATTCGTGTTTCGTGATTCGTCGCGTGTGATAACCTCCATGACGTGTCAAAGGCTGGTTGTAGACGGATCCGATGTCGAATCGTGTTTCGTGATACCTTGTCGTCGGGTGTTACTAGGTTCGTGACACGGTAACCCTAGTGGTCCGGAGAGCCACCTCACTCTGGTAGGAGTGTTCTACCCGCAGGGGATTCCTGTGCAGGCAGTGATGATGGTAGATTCGGGGGCCACGGGTATGTTCATGGATCGGACGTTCGCGAGGATCCATAACTTTGATGTGATAGACCTAGAGAACCCTAGGACCGTCACGGTCATCGACGGAAGAGAGATAGTGGGTGGTCAGATCACCCAGAAGGCACATGCTATTGTGCGGACAGGATTGCACCAAGAGAAGGCGGAGTTCTTCTTGACGGATTTGTGTGGGTACGCGGCGGTCCTCGGGATTACATGGTTACGACACCATAGCCCACACATCCAGTGGGATACGAATACGGTCACCTTCGCGGACGACTGTTTGAAGAAGGGATGCGTCAAGAAGGTAGAGGTAGTATGCTCCCCCGACGAGGTGGAGATAGAAACGCGGAATATCGATCCGCTGTCGAGAATGAAGGAGCCGATCACGGAGAATCTCGTGGTGGCTCAAATGCAGATGACGAGGGAGGATGAGGAGCGGGCCCGCAGGCCGGACCTGTGGGACTGGGACGTCAAGCCCACCGACTCGATTCAAAACGAACTCGATCCTCCCGAGTACATGGAGAAGTTGCGAGACGTTGTGCCGAAGAAGTACCATGAGTACCTCGGAGCGTTCTCCAAGACGAAGGCAGACTCGCTGCCTCCGAAGCGCTCGATCGATCATGCGATCGAGCTGAAGCCTGGGACAACTCCCACGTATGGGAAGTTGTACAACCACTCGCAGAAGGAGACGGACGCTCTCAAGGCGTGGTTGGCGGAGAACCAGGCGAAAGGGTTTATTCGACCCTCGAAATCCTCGTGTTCGAGTCCGGTACTGTTCGTACCGAAGAAAGGGGGTGAATTGAGGCTGTGTATTGATTACCGCCGCCTCAACGAAATTACCGAGAAGGACAGGACCCCCCTGCCGCTTATCTCGGAGACCTTAGATCGCCTACGGGGATCGAAGGTATATACGAAGATGGACCTGAGGGGAGCGTACAACCTCCTGAGGGTCAAAGAGGAGGATGTTTGGAAGACCGCGTTCACGACACGATATGGTCTGTTCGAATGTCTCGTCATGCCATTCGGTTTGACAAACGCGCCGGCGACGTTCCAGCGCTGGATGAATCAGGTCTTCCAGGACATGTTAGACGTGTGTGTGGTCGTCTATTTAGACGACATATTGATTTACTCCGCCGATCAGGAGACACACGACGAGCACGTACGGGAAGTGCTGAGGAGGCTACAGGCGAATGGCCTGTACGCAAAGGCGGAGAAGTGTGAGTTTGACACGACGGCGACGGAGTTCTTGGGGTATGATATTGCCCCTACGGGGGTCAGCATGAATCCGTCGAAGGTGAAGTCGGTGTTGGAATGGGCGGCGCCCCGAAATATTCGAGGCCTGCAGTCGTTCTTGGGGTTCGCGAATTACTATCGCCGGTTCATTCAGAACTACTCCAAGAAGATTCAAGGCATGACGGCCTTGACGAAGAAAGGGGTGAAGTACCACTGGCCGGAGTCAGCGGATGCTGCCTTCAAGGAGTTGAAGAAGGCGTTCACCGAGGCGCCCATCCTCGCTCATTACGACGAGGAGCGCCAGGTGGTACTGGAGACGGACGCATCGTCAGGTGCGATGGGAGCGGTGATGTCGCAGGTAGGGGACGACGGGAAACTACATCCCGTGGCGTTCATGTCGAAGAGCCTTACGCCGGCTCAACGAAACTACGACGTACACGATCGCGAGCTGCTTGCCATCGTGTACTGCTGCCAGATATGGCGGCATTACCTAGACGGGAAGTTCCCGGTGAGGATCCTTACGGATCACAAGAACCTGGAGTATTTCAAGAAGGACAAGATGTTGTCCCACCGACAAGCGAGATGGTCTCAACTGCTGAACCAAATCTCGTACACGTTGGAGTACAAGCCGGGGACAGAGAACGGGAAGGCTGACGCGCTCAGCAGGAGAGAGGAGTTGATGGAAGAGACGGAGCCCAAGC